TTTTCCCAGTTTTGCTCTTTTTTCCCCCCTTTGTGTTTGTTGATTTTCCACATTTTTTTTCTCCTTTTCTTCCCATTTTTTCCTCTTTTCTTCCCATTTTTCCTCCTTTCTTCCCATTTTTTTTGCTCTTTTTTCCCTCTTTTCTTCCCATTTCTTTTACTCTTTTTTCCCCATTTTTCCTCTTTTTTTCCTCCTTTATATTCTTTGATTTTCCCCATTTTTGACTCTTTTGATCCCATTTTTTCCTCTGTTCTTCCCATTTTTTTTTAAACTCTTTTTTCCCCTCTTTTCCCAGTTGGGATTTGGGAATCACAGAGGGAATTTGGGAAGCACAGGAGGAAATCTGGGACTCTCAGGGAGGAATTTGGGAAGCACAATGGGAATTTTGGGAAGCTCAGGAGAGACTGGAGAGGCACAATGGGAATTTGAGGAAGCCCAGAAGGGATTTTGGGAAGCCCAGAAGGGATTTTTGGGAATCCCAGGGAGGATTTTGGGAATCCCAGGGGTCTGTTGGGAATTCCAGGTGGGATTTGTGCCGTTGGGAATTCTCTTCCCTCTCCATGTCTCCTACTTTTCCCAGTTTCTTCGAGGGCAATTCCATGGGCGACAGCTCCGCACACTTTGCCGAGGTGAGTTTTCCTACTTTTCCCAACTCCAGAGCCTTTTTCCAAGTTTTTTTTCCCCTTTTCCCCAAAGCCTGAATCCTTCCAAATCCCTCTGGCCTCTAGCCAAACCTTTTTCCCAGGAATTTTTCCCCCCTCTGGATCCACAGCAGCCTCAGGAATCTCCTCAGCTGCTCCAATGAGGACACTCAGCACATTCCCATCGGGATGAGGTTGGAATATTCCTCTTTTTTCCTCTAGCTCTGGGACCATTTGGACCACACGATGTTCTTCCCGGATTTCCGACCTTTCCTGAGTGGAAATTCCTTGGATCCTGACACGGCAAGAGGTCCTGGAGCTGCTCCAGATCTCTGGGGGCCTGGACGTCCTCCCAGAATTCCCATGGCTCGGAGATTCCGATCCCGCGGCACTTCCCGCCCGGATCGTTCCCCAGCCATCGAGGGGTGAGTGTGTATCCAGGAAAAACTGGGAATTTGGGGGCAGAAAACTGGGAAAAAGGGATTCTGGTACTTCCCTGCATCCAGCTGGGAGTGATTCCCAATTCTTCTTCCTATCCCAGTGTTTGGAATGGGAAATATTCCCAGTGATTCTATCCCTTGGAGGTTTGGGATCAGCTCCTGCTTCCCTAGGGATGTTCAGGACAATCCTGGAGCACATCCTGGGATCTGATTCCCAGAGGGAATCCTGTAGAGCTTTGGGATCACCTCCTGCTTCCCTAGGGATGTTCTCAGGACAATCCTGGAGCTCATCCCAGGATTTGCACTGGGATCTCATTCCCTAGGCATGGCACAAAGGGTTTTCCAAGGAATCCTGGAGCATTCCATGGCTCCAATTCCCTCCAGCTTTAGGGGCTGAGATTCCCAGGAGGAAACCCAACTGGAATTCCAGCAGGA